AGCCCCTTCCCCGTCGAGGTGGTGCCGGCCACCGACCCCTCCAAGGTGAGGGAGGGGTTTGGGGGGGTTTGGTGGGGGAGGATTTGGGGGGGAGGCCGTGGGATGTAGCTCAACCCAATGTAAACCAGCTCAACCCAATGTAACCCAACGCAACCCAACATAACCCAACAGAACCCAACAAAACCCAACGCAACCCAACATAACCCAACAGAACCCAACAAAACCCAACGCAACCCAACATAACCCAACAGAACCCAACAAAACCCAACGTAACCCAACGCAACCCAACTGAACCCAACAAAACCCGACATAACCCAACAAAACCCAACGTAACCCAACACAACCCAACTGAACCCAACAAAACCCGACATAACCCAACAAAACCCAACTCAATTCTTCCCAACCAATCCAGCCCATCCCAACTCAACCACACTCAACCTATCCAACCAAACATAACCCAACAAAACCCAACTGAACCCAACGCAACCCAACATAACCCAACATAACCCAACACAACCCAACATAACCCAACAAAACCCAATCCAACCCAACACAACCCAACATAACCCAACACAACCCAACAAAACCCAACTGAACCCATTCCAGCCTAACGCAACTCAACCCAATCAGTCCAACCCAATGTAACCCAACTCAACCCAACAAAACCCAACTCAACCCAACAAAACCCAACTCAATTCAACCCAACTAATCCGGCCCATCCCAACTCAAATCACACCCAACCAGTCCAACCTAACATAACCCAACTCAACCCAAAGTAACCCAGCAAAACCCAACTCAAGCCAACTCAACCCAATCCAACCTAACATTACCCAACACAACCCAACGTAACCCAACCAATCCAGCCCATCCCAACTCAACCCCACCCAACCAATCCAACCCAGCTCAACCCAACTCAACCAGTCCAACCCAAATCAATTCAACTCAGCCCATCCTGGCCCAATGCAATTCAACGCAACCAATCCAACCCAACTCAACCCAACAAAACCCAATTCAACCCAGCTCAGTTTGACTCAATCAATCCAGCCCAGCTCAATCCAACAAAACCCAATTCAACCCAACTCAATTTGACTCAACCAATCCAACCCAACTCAACCCAACAAAACCCAATTCAACCCAACTCAATTTGACTCAACCAATCCAACCCAACTCAACCCAACAAAACCCAATTCAACCCAACTCAGTTTGACTCAATCAATCCAGCCCAGCTCAACCCATCCCAACCCAATTCAACCCAACTCAGTTTGACTCAATCAATCCAGCCCAGCTCAACCCATCCCAACCCAACCAATCCAACCCAGCTCAACACAACTCCAACCAATCCAACCCAACTCAACCCAGTTCAATTCGACTCAACCCATCCCAGCCCAACTCAATTCAACCCAACCCAACCAATCCAACCCAGCTCAACTCATCCCACCCCAAACCATCCCAACTCAACCCATCNCTCAACCCATCCCAGCCCAACTCAATTCAACCCAACCCAACCAATCCAACCCAGCTCAACTCATCCCACCCCAAACCATCCCAACTCAACCCATCCCAACTCTTCCATCCGCCCAGGTCCGCGCTTTTGGCCCCGGTCTCCAGGGGGGCCTGGCGGGGGTTCCAGCCCCGTTCACCATCGACACCAAAGGCGCCGGCACGGGCGGTTTGGGGCTGACCGTGGAGGGGCCCTGCGAGGCCAAAATCGAGTGCCAGGACAACGGCGACGGCACCTGCTCCGTGTCCTACCTGCCCACGGAACCCGGCGACTACAACATCAACATCCTCTTCGCCGGCACCCACATCCCGGGCTCGCCCTTCCGCGCGCCGATCCGGCCGAAATTTGACCCTTCCAAGGTCACCTGCGAAGGGCCGGGGTTGGAGAAGGCCACGGCCGGGCAGCCGGGGCGCTTCCGGGTGGACTGCAGCCGGGCGGGAACGGCCGAGCTGACCATCGGCATCGCCTCGGAAGCCGGGGCGCGGGCGGACGTGAGGGTGGAGGAGAACGGCGACGGCATTTACACCATCGCCTACACGCCGCGCAGCGCCGGCGTGCACACCGTCACCGTGGAGTACGGCGGCCAGCCCGTGCCGCACTTCCCCAGCACCGTGCGCGTGGAGCCGGCGCCGGCGGCTGTGGACACGAGCGGCATCAAGGTGTACGGGCCCGGCGTGGAGGGCAAGGGTGAGTTTGGGGTGGGGTGGAAGGGTTGGATTGGGTTTGGTCGGGATGGGTTGAGTTGGGTTGGGTTGGGGTCAGTTGGGTTGGGTTGGGTTGGGTAGAGTTGGAAGAGGATGAGTTGGGTTGATTGTGTTGGGATGAATTGGGTTGGGTTGAGTTTGAGTGGCTGTGATGAATTGAGTTGGGTTGGCTTGAGTTGGGTTCGGTTGAGTTGTGTTGGGTTGGGTTGGGTAGAGTTGGAAGAGGATGAGTTGGGTTG